GTTGGGCTAAAAGACGAGACATATGTCTCGGGGTTTCGTCCAATTGGCCTTTTTTTCGCTACATAAATGCAAAAACGGTAGTGCTGCTTCTAACGTTGGTAGCCAAGTGGTGCACTCCATTAGGTGGCTTTATCTGGGCTTGAATAAAAGAAAAAACATAGTCCTAATGATTAAAATAAAAATGTTTGAATTTTATTCCCTGAATGAGAAATTATAGCGATTTTATGAAAAATACTGAATTTTGGCATTAATCAAATTATTAGCAATTTTTACGCTTTAATTAAAACAGCTATAACTTTTGAATAGAGGCAGAAAATCGAACAAAATTTTTTTGCAGTAAATAGGTCTTGATCTAAGCTTTCATTTTAGCCTAGTAAGAACACTCGAACTATTAAAGGAACTTAGCTACAGATGCTACAAAGTAATACAATTTTTCAAAAATCGATGAAAACTGACTTTTATAAAATTTCGTATAACTTTTGACTAGCAAATTTTATCGTTCTATCGCTTGATATATTTGTTACTAATGTTGTGTACAGTAGAAATACCATGGAAATATTTTTTTTAACCAACTTCTTTTGAAAAAAATTTTCAAGTCGATCTAAGCAAGTTACGGCAGAATCACCCATTGGGTAAACAGGGGTATTATCGCGGTTTTTTTTAGTGGTTAGCTTTAAACGATTGTCTGAGAAATTAAGTGCGTCAAATCGATGTGATTTTTTTTTTTTTTTTTATCAATGTGGACTCAAAAACTATTGAATTCCCCTTTCATAAATGTATAAACTCATGAATATCGATTTAAAAAGAGGTTTTAAAGTTCAGTTGCCAATGCTGGTATTATTGCGGGCGTGTATGTATTCTTGTGCACGTATTTTTGTGGTCAATTTCAATGCTAAATCAACTGGGTATCTGCAATAATACCATTATAGTGAAAGAGGTTATGTGTGCACCAGTTATTGCGGACGTGGTTTTTTGTTATACAAATGTAAAGTTTTGAAGACTATTTAAGAACTAAAGTTCAATGAATTAGGTACTCTATGACTTGATTTAATGATTTCAAGTGTTTACTAGCCATAACTCATCAGTTCAATTAAAATACACGCATTATTTGAGAGTACCGCGATAATTGGAGCAACCGTGATAATACCCCCGTTTACCTTATATATAAGTTGTTAGGGGCTCTTTAGAAATTCTTTTACTTTCTTTCTACTGCTAAAAATAATATTTTGTTTCTCCTTTAACTACATGAGGAGGAAATTAAATCGCTTATTTTGTCTATTATTGAAAATATTTAAATTATGCCCAAAGCCTTTTATAACCCACATTTTCTAAAACTCTTATGACTTCTACTGCCTCAAACTCATTTTTAGGGCCCCTCACAGTAGATTTCAAGAAAAATGTCATATTCATTTTATTTACTTTTCCAAGCTGATCGGGAAAAAAAAAGATAGGTTACTTCTGTTAATTTTTTTTATCAAATATCAGTTAGTTTCTCTCCCCAAGTCACCTTTCACAGATCACCATACCGTTTTCTGTATCCCTGTACCTCTGAAATTGATTGCGTAGTATCTATAAAATAACCAAAACGAGGGCTTCGCTTTGCGTATTCTAGGGATTATCTAATGAACTGCTTACGTTTGCGATACATTACATGGTGTAATCAGATCTCTATTAGATTGAGCAAATGTTTTTGTTAATAATCGTTAATATTACTACTTTCTGTACAACATCTATAGTAGAGTGTTATAAGGACATTACAAAACATGTGAAAATACCATTGCACAGCAAAAAAGACTAGATCTATAGTGTAATAAATACCATACGTAATTCTATTAGCCACCTAATTTGTCAGATAGTTAAAAAGCTTGGAACGAGCTACTTTTTTTATTGAATTTCTAGCCAATGAAGGCAAAAAGCATGGTTTTTAACTTCTACATGCAGCAACGATAAATAAAGATAGTGATTACTTACAAGAATTATTCAGCAATAAAAAAAGAGTTTGAAAATTTTCGTTTTATTTTTTGGCTTTGAGTATGTATTTGAATATTGAATACTATTGCTTTTTACATGTTTTGTATATGTTTCGAAAGTAAATGTAGGTTATCTTTGATTTTACATGTGTTACAATATTAGAATGACTAATGACTCTTTATGAGTACTTATTTGTTTTTCTAGTGTACTTACAGATTATCAAATAATGTTTCTTAAATTTTTTATATTGTTATACTTGTTTTTTTTTTTTTGTAAATGAACAACATGCCATGTACAAAGATTAAAAAATCTACAATAAACCAAAGAGAAGAACAAAAAATAAGTAGTAAGAATGGCCACAAAAATAGAGAGACGAAATAAAAAAATCAATAGAGTAGTTATACAGAAGGAGTGGCTGCAGGGTGATCTAAGTCTTTCTATTCTCTTCTGCTTTCTAGGAATTTATTTAATAAGTACTTAAATATTCATACCTACACATCATAATATACATAGAACGGAGGTTGGATTGTCATCATCTGACTCAGTTAGACCTTTGGTTGTTGAAGGCAGAAGCCTTATCCTTTTTCTTTATTTTTTTTATAGTCCATGAACTCAATAATCTTTGTTGTAGTCACTACTATCACCTTACAGCACAGCATACCAACTGTTGAGAATTTCAGAGTTTGTCGTTAGTCTAAGAGAAAGTAGCAATAATTTTTAGCAACCCAATTGATTTTACTGTTGATACTTTCTTTATTAAAAAGATTATTTTACATTCCTAACATCTAATTATTAGCTACGTTATATATTCTTATGCTTTCATAGTTGTTTAAAAAAGTATAAGCTTCAACAGCACATTATTTACAACAGTTATCAATTGAAAAAGAGACAGTAAAAATTCATGCCAAAAACTCATTGCCAGGTAAGAAAGTAAAAATGCCTTCGCATTGATTAAATCAAGAATTTTATAATAACCACAATCAAAAAGTACGCCTTTTACAAAATTTTTAGATTTCTGTCACAAAAAAGGCTATTTCGAGGTTAATCTACATTTTTATAGTTTTTAAGCTTCGAATCACTAAGTTTTCAATAATATGGTTTGAAAATAATAGTTGTTGAGGGTTTCGTACGAGGTTGCAACAATTTTTTTAGATTCTTGTAAAGTGAACCATAACCACAAAAAAAAGATTAAAATTTTCTTTTTTGTTTTAAAGTATGTTAGGCATTATAGCAGTTTATCTATCAGAATTTACCATGTTTTTTAAAGTGGTAAACAATTTTTTAAAAATGATACAATGCTTTTTAAGAAACAATAGCTAAGTACTATTTTAATAAACACGTAATTTTTATATTTATCAACGTAATTATCGTAATGCTACGTAAAGAAAAAAATTAAATGAGATTATAGGATTATTTCAGCCATTTATAAAATGGAGCAAAAATGCTGATAACTTAAGTAAAATTGTACGATTGTTAGATTTTTATGATAAATTCACTGACTTTTCTTCTTCTATGGTTAAAAGTTAAAAATTACTGTAACCGTATGCCCGTCAGCACGTTAGTTTGGGCAGATTGTTTGGAGTGCTTCGTTTAACTCTTGACTGTTAATATAGACATATTTTTGTTAAGTCATTAAATGCTTGTAGCTACTCCATGCGATTATTTTTTACTAATCAAGCGCTTTGAGATTTATTTTTCTAAAAAAGTAAGGTATATATTGTTACCCTTATTACCGATTATCACGATTTTGAGTTACAGCTCTTTTAGATAGTGTGCTTAATGTATGAGTAATGCAGTTGAGGGCTTTTTATACTACGAATTATAGAGCTTAGAGAAGATAAGTGACGTTCATAAAGATTATATATAGTGGACGTAAAATGTACATTTAACATATTTATTGTGAGTTTACACTTCAATATAACGCAAGGCTTTCTTCAGAAGGTGGCTGGCCACCGTCATTTTTTACTAATTAGCTTTGCCATGCTTGTTTTACTGATATAAACCAATTACAAGGGGTATCCTTAGATAAGAATGGTCGAATGCCCTTACATAAAAAAAAATTTTTTTTATACTTTGAAATTACTTTAGAAGACAAAAAATACTAAGGACATGATGTCCTAGATCCTAGAATAACTTCCCTTATTTAGGGTTCCTAAGAATTCCCGTTTTACGCTTCGATTACTTTCTTTCCTTGTAATGGCTTAAGGAATCGGAAAAAATTACGAATAATTAACATGTTGTTATTTCTAACATATATTGTTTAAATTTGAACAAAATTAAAAAACCATTATTTAAACATAAAATTTGAATTTGATCGTGTTTTTAAATGGCTACAAAAAACTTCATTCTTCTATCTATAGAGCGAAACGTAGTACGATTTTTTTAAGGATTTTTCTTAGGAGTTTGCCAGGTCTAAGAACACAGTTTTTCATGTTGAAGCCGTTTTCAGACTGATGTAGATTATTTTTCCATTAATTTTATTTTTTTTGAAACGTAAACTGCATATTGACACTAAAATATAATTTATATTTTATTTTACTTTTTATTTTTAGTTCCAAACATAACTTCGATTAAAATTTTTGGATCCCATTTAAAAGTGCAATACGTCAAAGTACTCATTTGCAGTAACATTTTTGTCATTTAGTTTTTCAACTTTCATAGGGTTAGTCGATAGCATGGAAGGGATTACAAAAAGATTACTCTGATCATTTTGATTTTATTTATTTATTCATTTTTTTTTTAGTTATAACGAAATATCGCATTTACCATGCTATCCGCAAAAGCACAGCATAAAGATTCCGCGCACAGTGTACTATATGGGGTGTACTATATGCACTATATAATGTCATTTAAGTTTGTTTTCAGCTTCAAATCAAAAACTAAAAACTGTGGACTACAGNAAGTTTCATTAAAAGTTTTTAAAATTTTCAAACAGTGTCGTAAAATTTGATTACCATATATCTTGAAATAAATATTATTGTATATAAAAGTTACGTAACAAAAAACAACTATACATAACGTGTTTTCAGCATACAAGATCCATTGAAGAAAACTGCGACAATTGGCTTTATAAATAATTTTGGCCAAATACCAAAGCAGCTCTTCAAAAAGCCACATCCAGCAAAAAAAATGACTTCTAGAACAAGCTTGATTGACTCTAGCTCATTGTCTGCGGGCCTTAGCGTATCCTATTCAGATAAATTATTTTACAATCACATAGACAATCTTAAGCCATCGCTTCAGCCAGTCAAAGGTTTGTCTGCTTTGTAAATCGAGAAACTTTACTGTCATTAAAGACCAATGCATTAAATATTGTATTTCGTTTATGAAAATAACTTTAAAATAATTAAGCAACAATTTCAAGTTAGAGCATGCCTCTTTTTATTCATTATTTAAATCACATCTAAATATTTGAGTTACCTACTGATACCTTCATCACGTAACTATATTAATACAAATTTTGGAATTGCACACATCATGGCATTGGTACCTAATTGTTGATAATGCACAAGTATGTGAAAAAACTAAGGTTTAAAAAATATTTTTGTTTTACTACATATTTATGTTTTACCTCAATATATAGTTACAATATTATGCTACGTGTTATCTCAGCATCTACGATTTCGTGTTTTTATCATAAGAGGAGTAAGGAGATTATCAAAATCTACAATTAAAGTTTAGATAATTTACTTTATGAGTACTTATTTGTTTTTCTAGTGTACTTNATTCTGCCTCTTAACAATTGATCGTAAGAAATCTAAAGTTTGATCCATCCTACGAAATAGGTCTTGCCAGTTTAGTGGGTATTTAGTCAACATCGCTAAGAACATGGTAGAAAAAAATAAGCATTTTTAGGCTGACTTCACGTCCTACACAGAACAGGGGTTTGTACCCCCTTCTATTGACCTCGATTAAAGAAGAACAAAAAAATATAATAATAATAATACTAACTTTTTTTCAGAACTTAAAACAACTGTTGGACAGATTTTGCATGTTGATAGATCCGTATTAGCAGTAGAGCAGAACAAAGTACTAATTCCCCCTTTTTACAATAAGTATGTTGCATGGGGATTTGCCGACCATTCTTTAAGGATTGGAAATTATGACAGTGAAAAAGCGATTTTCGTTTCTGAAATAATGATGCAAGGAAGTGGAGAAATAATGACTTGTGTATGTCCATCATCTAAATTAATTGTCACTGCTGGTACCAGCTCTGTAAGTTCAATTTATTTTTCAATATTCTAGAAACTTTTATCCCAGTTTTATTTACAATATCTATATTTTTTTGCCAAGGTTCTTACTGTATGGGAATATTCAAAAAAACAGCTGACGATAAAACAATGTCTTTATGGTCACATAGATTCTGTTTCATGTCTTGCTGCAAGCCCTGCTTTTAATATTATTGTATCTGGTTCTAGAGATAGTACGGCTATTATTTGGGATCTTTCGCGATCTTTATTTGTGCGACAGCTTCAAGGACATGCTGGACCGGTCGCTGCAGTTGCAATTAATGACTCAACGGTAGGCTTCTTTTAAAGTTTGTGTCAAATGTATGTAAAAGTTATAATAGTTATTCTCTGTAGGGTGACATTGGAACTTGCGCTGGCACATGGTTATATGTTTGGAGTATTAATGGTCAAGAATTGGCCAAAGTAAATACCTGCATTGGAAGATCTGACAGAATGCAACAAATTTTATGCATAGCTTTTAGTCATATTTATGAATGGGATCCTAACAATGTTATAATGACAGGTTCAAGTGACGGAGTCGCAAGGGTTAGTATAAAGTACTTTGAAAAGATTAATTTTTGTCATGTATTACACAACTTTTCTTTTAAGATTCTATGTAACACACCGATCATGTTAATTATACAAGAAAAAAATAGTAACATAGAGCATCTCAAGACAAACTAACAAAAATATCTTTTGAGAGCAGCTGCTACACTAAAAATAATTTTTTAGAATCTTTATGTCAATGAAACGACATTATATGGCTACCTTTAGTTTTACATTGACTTTGACCTTTTAAGTCATTAAAATTACAAATATTATTCCAAAATACAAACTCGTACTGCCTCTCCAGTTACGAAAAGGGTACAAAATCTGATGTTTTTGTAAGAACTTAAAGTTTTCTTTTTATTAATATTCAAAAGTGATTTTATAAAAAACTATTTTATACAATTCTTATCAGAAAATAGTTTAATGCGTTTTGCATTAACGCTACTAAAAAATTTTTAATAAAGCGTCCCCTGTAGATCACTAATTTCTACTGAGCTAATTTAATAGCTTCATTTTGCCATTTTACAATTGCCAAGAATTTGTAAACGGTGTAAGGTTTCATTCCATTCCCATAGGCTGCATTAGCGATAACACTAAACTCGTCATGATTAAGACTATTTATTGTGAGTTTACACTTCAATATAACGCAAGGCTTTCTTCAGAAGGTGGCTGGCCACCTGGTGCACTCCATTAGGTGGCTTTATCTGGGCTTGAATAAAAGAAAAAACATAGTCCTAATGATTAAAATAAAAATGTTTGAATTTTATTCCCTGAATGAGAAATTATAGCGATTTTATGAAAAATACTGAATTTTGGCATTAATCAAATTATTAGCAATTTTTACGCTTTAATTAAAACAGCTATAACTTTTGAATAGAGGCAGAAAATCGAACAAAATTTTTTTGCAGTAAATAGGTCTTGATCTAAGCTTTCATTTTAGCCTAGTAAGAACACTCGAACTATTAAAGGAACTTAGCTACAGATGCTACAAAGTAATACAATTTTTCAAAAATCGATGAAAACTGACTTTTATAAAATTTCGTATAACTTTTGACTAGCAAATTTTATCGTTCTATCGCTTGATATATTTGTTACTAATGTTGTGTACAGTAGAAATACCATGGAAATATTTTTTTTAACCAACTTCTTTTGAAAAAAATTTTCAAGTCGATCTAAGCAAGTTACGGCAGAATCACCCATTGGGTAAACAGGGGTATTATCGCGGTTTTTTTTAGTGGTTAGCTTTAAACGATTGTCTGAGAAATTAAGTGCGTCAAATCGATGTGATTTTTTTTTTTTTTTTTATCAATGTGGACTCAAAAACTATTGAATTCCCCTTTCATAAATGTATAAACTCATGAATATCGATTTAAAAAGAGGTTTTAAAGTTCAGTTGCCAATGCTGGTATTATTGCGGGCGTGTATGTATTCTTGTGCACGTATTTTTGTGGTCAATTTCAATGCTAAATCAACTGGGTATCTGCAATAATACCATTATAGTGAAAGAGGTTATGTGTGCACCAGTTATTGCGGACGTGGTTTTTTGTTATACAAATGTAAAGTTTTGAAGACTATTTAAGAACTAAAGTTCAATGAATTAGGTACTCTATGACTTGATTTAATGATTTCAAGTGTTTACTAGCCATAACTCATCAGTTCAATTAAAATACACGCATTATTTGAGAGTACCGCGATAATTGGAGCAACCGTGATAATACCCCCGTTTACCTTATATATAAGTTGTTAGGGGCTCTTTAGAAATTCTTTTACTTTCTTTCTACTGCTAAAAATAATATTTTGTTTCTCCTTTAACTACATGAGGAGGAAATTAAATCGCTTATTTTGTCTATTATTGAAAATATTTAAATTATGCCCAAAGCCTTTTATAACCCACATTTTCTAAAACTCTTATGACTTCTACTGCCTCAAACTCATTTTTAGGGCCCCTCACAGTAGATTTCAAGAAAAATGTCATATTCATTTTATTTACTTTTCCAAGCTGATCGGGAAAAAAAAAGATAGGTTACTTCTGTTAATTTTTTTTATCAAATATCAGTTAGTTTCTCTCCCCAAGTCACCTTTCACAGATCACCATACCGTTTTCTGTATCCCTGTACCTCTGAAATTGATTGCGTAGTATCTATAAAATAACCAAAACGAGGGCTTCGCTTTGCGTATTCTAGGGATTATCTAATGAACTGCTTACGTTTGCGATACATTACATGGTGTAATCAGATCTCTATTAGATTGAGCAAATGTTTTTGTTAATAATCGTTAATATTACTACTTTCTGTACAACATCTATAGTAGAGTGTTATAAGGACATTACAAAACATGTGAAAATACCATTGCACAGCAAAAAAGACTAGATCTATAGTGTAATAAATACCATACGTAATTCTATTAGCCACCTAATTTGTCAGATAGTTAAAAAGCTTGGAACGAGCTACTTTTTTTATTGAATTTCTAGCCAATGAAGGCAAAAAGCATGGTTTTTAACTTCTACATGCAGCAACGATAAATAAAGATAGTGATTACTTACAAGAATTATTCAGCAATAAAAAAAGAGTTTGAAAATTTTCGTTTTATTTTTTGGCTTTGAGTATGTATTTGAATATTGAATACTATTGCTTTTTACATGTTTTGTATATGTTTCGAAAGTAAATGTAGGTTATCTTTGATTTTACATGTGTTACAATATTAGAATGACTAATGACTCTTTATGAGTACTTATTTGTTTTTCTAGTGTACTTACAGATTATCAAATAATGTTTCTTAAATTTTTTATATTGTTATACTTGTTTTTTTTTTTTTTTAAATGAACAACATGCCATGTACAAAGATTAAAAAATCTACAATAAACCAAAGAGAAGAACAAAAAATAAGTAGTAAGAATGGCCACAAAAATAGAGAGACGAAATAAAAAAATCAATAGAGTAGTTATACAGAAGGAGTGGCTGCAGGGTGATCTAAGTCTTTCTATTCTCTTCTGCTTTCTAGGAATTTATTTAATAAGTACTTAAATATTCATACCTACACATCATAATATACATAGAACGGAGGTTGGATTGTCATCATCTGACTCAGTTAGACCTTTGGTTGTTGAAGGCAGAAGCCTTATCCTTTTTCTTTATTTTTTTTATAGTCCATGAACTCAATAATCTTTGTTGTAGTCACTACTATCACCTTACAGCACAGCATACCAACTGTTGAGAATTTCAGAGTTTGTCGTTAGTCTAAGAGAAAGTAGCAATAATTTTTAGCAACCCAATTGATTTTACTGTTGATACTTTCTTTATTAAAAAGATTATTTTACATTCCTAACATCTAATTATTAGCTACGTTATATATTCTTATGCTTTCATAGTTGTTTAAAAAAGTATAAGCTTCAACAGCACATTATTTACAACAGTTATCAATTGAAAAAGAGACAGTAAAAATTCATGCCAAAAACTCATTGCCAGGTAAGAAAGTAAAAATGCCTTCGCATTGATTAAATCAAGAATTTTATAATAACCACAATCAAAAAGTACGCCTTTTACAAAATTTTTAGATTTCTGTCACAAAAAAGGCTATTTCGAGGTTAATCTACATTTTTATAGTTTTTAAGCTTCGAATCACTAAGTTTTCAATAATATGGTTTGAAAATAATAGTTGTTGAGGGTTTCGTACGAGGTTGCAACAATTTTTTTAGATTCTTGTAAAGTGAACCATAACCACAAAAAAAAGATTAAAATTTTCTTTTTTGTTTTAAAGTATGTTAGGCATTATAGCAGTTTATCTATCAGAATTTACCATGTTTTTTAAAGTGGTAAACAATTTTTTAAAAATGATACAATGCTTTTTAAGAAACAATAGCTAAGTACTATTTTAATAAACACGTAATTTTTATATTTATCAACGTAATTATCCTAATGCTACGTAAAGAAAAAAATTAAATGAGATTATAGGATTATTTCAGCCATTTATAAAATGGAGCAAAAATGCTGATAACTTAAGTAAAATTGTACGATTGTTAGATTTTTATGATAAATTCACTGACTTTTCTTCTTCTATGGTTAAAAGTTAAAAATTACTGTAACCGTATGCCCGTCAGCACGTTAGTTTGGGCAGATTGTTTGGAGTGCTTCGTTTAACTCTTGACTGTTAATATAGACATATTTTTGTTAAGTCATTAAATGCTTGTAGCTACTCCATGCGATTATTTTTTACTAATCAAGCGCTTTGAGATTTATTTTTCTAAAAAAGTAAGGTATATATTGTTACCCTTATTACCGATTATCACGATTTTGAGTTACAGCTCTTTTAGATAGTGTGCTTAATGTATGAGTAATGCAGTTGAGGGCTTTTTATACTACGAATTATAGAGCTTAGAGAAGATAAGTGACGTTCATAAAGATTATATATAGTGGACGTAAAATGTACATTTAACATATTTATTGTGAGTTTACACTTCAATATAACGCAAGGCTTTCTTCAGAAGGTGGCTGGCCACCGTCATTTTTTACTAATTAGCTTTGCCATGCTTGTTTTACTGATATAAACCAATTACAAGGGGTATCCT